GGCTCTTTTCACCCTCTTTTCAAAGTGCTTGTCATCTTTCCCTCACGGTACTTGTTCGCTATCGGTCTCCAGCCGCTATTTAGCCTTCGATGAGATTTACCACCGATTAGAGCAGCATTCCCAAGCTACCCGACTCATCTGAAACGCCCTCGTGCGGATATGTCCTGTGTGAGTTGGACGGGGCTCTCACCCTCCACGGCGCGCATTTCCATGCGACTTGCCCACACTGACAACCCGAGGACGCTCAACTACAACGCCTGCAAGCAGGCTTTTCATATTGGGCTCTTCCCGCTTCGCTCGCCGCTACTAGGGGAATCCTTGTTAGTTTCTTTTCCTCCGCTTAATTATATGCTTAAATTCAGCGGGTCGTCTTGTCTGATTTGAGATCCAAAATGTTATAGTGGTTTATGTTACAATGAAGACCCGTCTTTTCCTTTCAACAAGCCAACACATGGCCATACAGAGGGCATTTTGCCCGAAATCAACCATTCTCTGCCATTTCCTTCAGTGGTGTATTTCTACTCCTGCGGGAAAAGCATTGTCTAGTCGATCTTGCGGTTGCACCTTCCACAACCGCTCTGCACAACACCCCTAAACAAAGAAGTGCGCCAAGCAAAAACTTGCAAAAAATCGACAAGAACAACATCCCATACAAAGCTATTCTTCAGGTGACCGCTTCCCCCTCTCGGGTTGCACGGAAAACTTCTGCACCACGCGGTTTTTAATCACATGGACAGAAACACCCATCAGCAGCTCCTTCCACTGTGGAAAGAAGCAAAAGTCTCATTTGTGCGGACACTCAAACAGACATGCTCGCAGGATTGCCCGCGAGCGCAACTTGCGTTCAAAGATTCGATGATTCACGGATTCTGCAATTCGCACTACGTATCGCATTTTGCTGCGTTCTTCATCGTTGCTGGAGCCTAGACATCCACCGTCACGAGTTTTCAATTTGTTTGTTTTTGGTTTTTATTGTTAATAGTATGGGTTTGGTTTGATAAAAAAAAGATATGTTAAAAAGTTGTGCGCGAAACATGATAGAAAGACTGGCTAAAAACGGCGGAATCGCCGCTTTCAGCCTGTCATCCCACTACGAATGATCCTTCCGCAGGTTCACCTACGGAAACCTTGTTACGACTTCTCCTTCCTCTAAGTGATAAGGTTTGACCAAGTTTGGGCCAGATAGTTTGTGAAACACAATCCATCCATCCCTCCCAAGGCCTCACCGGACCACTCAATCGGTAGGAGCGACGGGCGGTGTGTACAAAGGGCAGGGACGTATTCAGCGCGGGATGATGACCCACGCTTACAAGGTATTCCTCGTTCAAGAGGGAAAATTGCAAGCCTCGATCCCCAGCACGAGCGGATTTAGAGATTAGGAAGCGCTCTCGCACATCCTCACCCGTTGACCCGCTCAGTGTAGCACGCGTGCGGCCCAGAACATCTAAGGGCATCTCAGACCTGTTATTGCCTGGAGCTTCCGTGGACTAGACGCCCACAGTCCGTCTAGGAAGGCAAGCCTCAGTACCAAAAAACGGTACTGGCGCCTAGCTAGCACGCCCAGGTCTCGCTCGTTAACGGAATTAACCAGACAGATCACTCCACCAACTAAGAACGGCCATGCACCACCAACCATAGAATCAAGAAAGAGCTCTCAATCTGTCAATCCTCACTATGTCCGGACCTGGTAAGTTTCCCCGTGTTGAGTCAAATTAAGCCGCAGGCTCCACACCCGGTGATGCCCTTCCGTCAATTCCTTTAAGTTTCAGCCTTGCGACCATACTCCCCCCAGAAAGCAAACACTTTGGTTTCCCGAAGGGTGCCGGGTAGGCCAAAATACAGTCCTACCCGATCCCCAGTCCTCATCGTTTATAGTAAAGACTACGACGGTATCTGATCGTCTTCGATCCCCTTACTTTCGTTCTTGATCAATGAAAACGTCCTTGGCAGACGCTTTCGCAGCCGTTTGTCTTCCGCCAATCCAAGAATTTCACCTCTGACGCCGGAATACAAATGCCCCCAACCGTCCCTCTTAATCATTACCCGATCCTCACAAACCAACAAAACAGGAAACAGGTCCTATTCTATTATTCCATGCTAATGTATTCATGGCAAACGCCTGCTTTGAACACTCTAATTTTTTCACAGTAAACGGTGGCAGCGACCACAATGAAGCAGTGAAGCTCCACTAGGCCCCCATCCACAAAGGCGGCCAACTCCAGATCCGTCCGCGAGGACGCCCTGGACTGCCCGCCAACCTCCGACTACGAGCGTTTTAACTGCAACAACTTTGGTATACGCTTACAGAGCTGGAATTACCGCGGCTGCTGGCACCAGACTTGCCCTCTGCTGGCTCCTCGATAAGCTGTTTACCTTGTTCTCATTCCAATTAGAAAACCCGTTGGGCCCTCTATTGCTATTTCTTGTCACTACCTCCCGGTATCCGGATTGGGTAATTTGCGCGCCTGCTGCCTTCCTTGGATGTGGTAGCCGTCTCTCAGGCTCCCTCTCCGGAGTCTCGCACCCACGATCCGTCACCCGTCACAACCATGGTAAGACAATACCTTACCATCCAAAGTTGATAGGTCAGAAATTTGAACGATGCGTCGCACTAACGTGCGATCAGAAAAGAAATTGTGAATCACCAAACATTGGTTTGTATCTCCAATTTATACCACGACATAAATGTCGCTTTAAGGCATGTATTAGCTCTAGAATTACTACGGGTATCCAAGTAGTAGTTACCATCGAAGAAACTATAGCTGTTTTACCGAGCCATTCGCAGTTTCGTTGTACAATTCACTCATACTTACACTTGCATGGCTTAGTCCTTGAGACAAGCATATACCACTGGCAGGATCAACCAGGTAGCTATTATCCGAAATGGCATGGACAGAAAGCCGGTAAACCGACCCCCCACCCATGCCACACTGATAAAGTAGCTTTCGCTCTCGTTCACCAGACTGCTTCACCGCGCTCAATGCGTTTGGTACCACAGCCTAATTACTCCATGTGCGAGTCCGGGGAATACGTATATTTCCGGTCTACACACAGGATCATATAGATAGAGAATCTCAGGTCAGGAGCGTACTTCCCACAAAGCGAAAACGAAAAATACAAGCCACCAACGGACTACATAAATGCAGCCCGCGACTACATAAATGTAGTCCGCGTAAACGCGTAAGAGGCTCTTTTCCGTCCCCACTCATGTTCATACACTCTCTTTCCCTTCAACAGACACAATCGCCTTCCGACGTGACACTGTGCGTCAAATGCAATAGTCCATAAATGAACCTACTTTGCCACAACAGCCCTCATTTCGAAATCCGCTTCTTCCCTCAGGGCAAAACGTGCTCTCGCATACCTAGACAATAAAGTAGTGCAAAGAAAAAGGCCAGTAAAACCTCCGTATACGACGTCATACAATGGTGACGCGTTAACAGCCAGCAGATAGACCTCTCGCTTTGCACACTTCAGTCTTGGGCACCCTTCGATATACGGTCAGAACAAGCGGCAAGCGATAAATCGCATCGCACGCCCGTCTGTCTCGCATCACTCACTCATTCACACAAAAACATGTCTTTCCGAACCGGAGTCCATGTGTCTCAAAACCCGTCAAATTTTAGGGGGCCTTTACAATCGGCTTCCCTGCATGGTTTTACCCACACCGCAACTGTTGAAAGTATAGCCATGGTTTCTGCCCGACAGTGACGTATGTGACAACCTAGAGGCCAGGATTTATTACCACTTCCTATCATTTGTGAGGATAGCACATACACGCCATAAATGACGCTCAGCACCCTCTACTCACGACGCGCTCGTCCCCAATCTTTGCTTCCTTCCTGTTTCTGCAGACGCTACCAATTGCCACACACCAGGCAGAACGGACAAAATAACCCGCGTGCCTTCCGGCTGCAGATTACCATGCCACAAATCCCGCGGTCCATCGACGAATCGACGAGGGAAACTTTTCGCAGAGCACTGATGGTCACCAGACACGGTCGACATGTTTCATCAGCACTCACCTTCCCCTCATAGTATGTCATCTTGACTCCAATCAGTGACGCCTCAAAATATAGGGGGTCGTGTTTTGGTCGAAAACGCCACGCGCGCAACATTTGCCAATCGACTCAGCCGTGGGACAAAATCACACCTGCGAAATTAAAAATTAAAAATCTGCCGCACAGCCCCTTGCAGACAATTTTTGCCAAAATATTTCCAACCCTACAGCGCACACCAAATTTGCAGATTTTTCAGTTCAAATCCAACGTACTGTACTCGACCGTAAATTATAACAGAAATTCAACCACTCCAAACCCCGGCAGCCAACAACCGCAAAACACCCCTTTCCACACATGTATTTCCCGGTGTGCTGTAGAAACGACCCATTTACGGCGGTCTCAGTTTACTGGATAAACGACCCATTTACGAGGGTTTCCATTCTGCTTGTAAAAGGACCCCGTTTACGCCGGTTTCGATTCTTTTGGTAAAATGACCCCGTTTACGCCGGTTTCGATTCTTCTGGTAAAATGACCCCGTTTACGCGGGTTTCCATTCTGCTTGTAAAATGACCCCGTTTACGCGGGTTTCCATTCTTCTGGTAAAATGACCCCATTTCGGCGGTTTTCGCTTCTACCCGTAAAAGGACCCTTTCAACACCCATTTCCAACGACTGTCAATTTGACCCAATCTTCACATATCCGTAATTGCATGGTTAAGCTACCCCTTCTAGCCGTATTCTTGACCGGATTTGTATTTGGACGAAATTTTGTTCGTTACGCGAACGAAAAATCCTTCGTTACGCGAACGACGTGTCCAAACAAATTCAGCAATAACTTTGATTTGGATTTACAGATTGTTTCCAAATTTGGCATCAGAGATGGGGCGCTTGTAACGCCCCATATACGCCAAACAGAATTACCATGCCAGGTTTAGTTCATTTTTCGATTCGCGTAACGAAACTTTTTTCATTCGCGTAACGGTGGAAATCCGAGAACACCGAATATCTCCACATTGTACATACCGATTACTTTTATTTTTCGTACGTGGTATGGGGCGCACATAGCGACGGATATGTGCTAGACGGAATCACTTGGGAATGCTTTGTTCGTTTTTCGATTCGCGTAATGAACACTATTCGTTCGTTCGCGTAACAAACTCTAGGAAGATCGATAACTCAGGACTGAACAGACCAATCATCCCCAAGTTTTGCACAGGATATTGAGCATTGCTAAGCTTGCATCTGCACAGAACATATTCAACAGTAATATCGTTTGGGCAAGGGAATGTTTCAGAGTCCCCACGGAAGCCAGGTACACAGATAAAGTTATATCGCAATCAACGACAACTTGATCACCAACGTACAACCGTTCTACACTATGGACCTTTTCCCAACAGATAGTTTGATAAATACAACCTGTACAACTACCAATTCAGAATCGCGCATGTCCCTTTTCCGAGCGAGGCCTACAGTATGCGCATTACTATGCCAGTACTGTGTCGGGTGAGAACACATTGCAGGCAAATAACTCTGTCGCCCCTTCATCTATGAAACTGCAAAGCACGTCAAAAGACAGGCCTTACTATGCCCAGTAACTGCGCGAAGTACCAAAAACATCGTACAGTTCATATTAAAGATATCCGGAGAAATCCTTCAGCAAAGACCAAAAAATTCAATTCGCGTAACCAAAAAAACTATTCGCGTAACCAATCTACGTTGAAAAACAGTTCGCGTAACAAACGCTGGCCTTCATTCGCGTAACAAACGCTCGCTTTCATTCGCGTAACAAACGCTCGCCTTCATTCGCGTAACAACCGCTGGTCTTCATTCGCGTAACAAACGTTGGAGAGCGGTACATGACGGTGAACTGTGCCGGAGTAGGAGTAACAAATAATGGTGAACTATGCCGGAGTACGGTAACAAACGTCGATCTTCATTCCCGTAACGAACCTCAAATTTCATTCCCGTAACGAATGTCAATCCCCACCAAAATCACTCTCTCATCACTATTACGCCATTATTTTATTCCCTACATTCACTTCCCCTCCCTTTCTCTTCACATTACTCTCACCTCACCCCCTACCCATCCACATCCCCCGCCCCCATTCAATCCATTTCCCCCTCCCTCTACCCCCCCTGTACCCCACCTCCCCCTTACCTTATTCACATTCACATTCACATTACTTTAATATATAAATTCACACAACCCCCTTATCCCCTTATCCCCTACACCCCTACTCCCCTACTCCCCTTCATCCCCTAATCCTCCAAACACGCAAAATGCAAAAAAACATTCGGCACCGGGGATTCCCGAGTGATCCCTCACCTCAGTACTAGCCCAGCCTGAAGCGACTTGACTTCCGAGTTCGGGATGGGATCGGGTACATGTCGACTTAGTATGGCCGAATGTACAAGCCCCACCTCTGCCCCACCTTATATACTCCACCAAAACCACATATACCCATATCCTCTCCCCTCTCCCTAACCCCCCGAAACGACCACTAATGAATAAGAGGGACGGTTCACGCCAATATACTCCGCAGTCCATCCACATCTTTCCCGCACCTCACATTCTACTCGCAATCCCAATACCCATACCCTCTCTTACCCCCAACTATCCACGCCCCTCATCCATCAATCCAACTCCAAGAGGAAATGAATAATACCAAGTCCTTTTTCATTCGCGTAACGAAGAATCCCCTTAACGTAAAAAAAGTACCAAGACAAGCGAACTTGTCTCGGTACTTTCTCTACACTCTTTCACACCAACTCGTAACCTGTAACCCGTAACCACATGCATAGAAAGAAGTTTTGTGGGATGGGCCCCGCGATCGAAAACGCACTTCAGTCTAGTACACAAACTGCGCAATGCAGTCAAGCCCATATCAAAAGATATAAAAAATGTGTATCTCTAGCGCGTCTGTTTGCACAGAACACACAAGAAGAAAACACGAATATAAAGAACAGCAGATATGCTCAGCCAATCGTAGCAACAAAGGCTACTCGAGAGCTTACACACTCTGGTTCCAACCCAGTCATCTACAAGTTATTCGATCTTTGCACTTTGAACAAGAAATTTAGAATGGTGCTGGCCTTGCGGCTATGCGGACACGTCCACTTTGCAAAAACACGGAGTCGTCGCTGAGCAGAACCGATCCAGGCTTAGACTCTCTCAGCCTTTCTGATCATTCAAACGGTAGCGTCGCAGCACTGCAGGCTCCTGCAGCTGCATGTACCAGCGATTTGAATCAAGCGTTCCTCTCGTACTGCCTTGAATTACTGCCGCGACGACAACTCATCGGTAGGATAAAACTAACCTGTCTCACGACGGTCTAAACCCAGCTCACGTTCCCTGTTGGCGGGTGAACAATCCGACACTTGGCGTATTCTGCTACGCAATGATAGGAAGAGCCGACATCGAAGGATCAAAAAGCGACGTCGCTATGAACGCTTGGCCGCCACAAGCCAGTTATCCCTGTGGTAACTTTTCTGACACCTCTCGCTTCAAATCTCGAATCGTGAAAGGATC